TGACCTGCACACGACCTGACCTTGCATACCCTCTTAGCATTCTTGCACGCTATGTTGCTCCTGGGAGACACCGACCAGAGCACATGGCTGCAGCGAAGAGGGTGTTGCGCTACTTGTGCAGTACGTCGGGCATGGGGCTAGTGCTTGGAGGGCGGAGTCCAGTGGTCCTCACTGGACACGCAGACGCTTCTTGGGCTGACGACCAGGCTACGCAGCGGTCGTCACAGGGTTACACCTTCAACCTTGGTTCCGGCTCTGTTTCGTGGCGGGCTACTCGCTCGTCTTCTGTTCTTGGCTCCAGTTGTGAGGCTGAGATCTACGCAGGGGCCATGGCTGCTCAGGAGCTTCGCTGGCTCACCTACCTGCTGACCGACCTTTGAGAGCCGCCTCGTTCTCCTCCAGTGCTGTACGTAGACAACAAGGCCATGCTGGCCTTGTGTCGGGAGCAGAGACTGGAGCACAGAACAAAGCACATTGCTCTCCGCTACTTCCTTGCTCGTGAGCTACAGCAGCGTGGTCAGTTGCAACTTGCGTACGTGGCCTCTGAGGCCAACACTGCTGATGTCTTCACCAAGGCACTTCCGCCTTGTGATCATTAGCGCTGCTGTACCCAGCTGGGTCTTATGTGTGTCTTGCCTCACTTGCTCTCCTCTTGACCCTCTTTGTACTGTTACATATATATATCACTGCTCTTGCTTGTTTAGTCTTATATATATATATATCTGTACTCCTGCATGTGAACTGGCCTTGTGGCCTTGCACTTGTGCTCGGATTGTAAGGTGACGTTGTGATCCACCCTGAGCTTGTTTTGTTTTGCTTTACTTGACTGGTCTTGTGACCCCTAGTTCTCCCCCACTTCGCCTATGGGGGTGTGTCAAACATTATATATGTTGTTGTAGTTGTTTAGGCTATAGTGGGTTAGCCTATAGGGGGTACACATTCCTAGGTTTTGATACTTGTACTCATTTCACTCTTAGTTCAATCCATTCTTGTTCAACACGGCCCCCTCGCGGCTTCCTTCGCGGCCCCTTCACGGCCCCGCCCCGCAGCCCGTAGCGACCCTGCCCCGTCGCCCTTCGCAGCCCCTTCGCGGCCCCGCCCCGCTGCCCGTAACGACCCCGCCCCGTCGCCCTTCGCGGCACCGCCGTGTCGCCCCCGCCTCGTCGCGTCGCCCCTGCGGGATCCGCGAGGTGCGGCTCCTGCGTGTCGCGACGCCCCTGCGGGACCCGCGTGGCGTCACCGCTGCCCGCCGCGACGCCCTGCCCTAACCCGCGCCCTGGAGCAGCCGCCACTGCAGCAGCCGCCCCTGGAGTAGTCGCCACTGCAGCAGCTGCCCCTGGAGCAGCCTCCCCTGCAGCAGCCGCCCCTGGAGCAACCGCCCCCGAAGCAGCCACCCCATGAGCAGCCGCCCCTGAAGCAGCCGCCCCTGGAGCAGCCGCCCTTGGAGCAGCCATACCTGCAGCAGCCACCCCTGGGCAGCCGCCACTGTAGCAACCGCCCCTCGAGCAGCCGCCACTGCAGCAGTCGCCCTTGGAGCAGCCGCCACTACAGCACCCGCCCCTGGAGCAGCCGCCATTGCAGCAGCCGCCCCTGGAGTAGCCGCCCCTGGAGCAGCCGCCCCTGCAGCAGCCGCCCCTTGAGCAGCCACCACTGCAGCAGCCGCCCCTGGAGCAGCCTCCCTTGCAGCAGCCGCCCCTGGAGCAGCCGCCACTGCAGCAGCCGCCCCTGGAGGAGCCTCCCCTGCAGCACCCGCCCCTGGAGCAGCCGCCCATGAAGCAGCCGCCCCAGGAGCAGCCGCCACTGCAGCACCCGCCCCTGGAGCAGCCACCCCTGCAGTAGCCGCCCTTGGAGCAGCCGCCCCTGCACCAGCCGCCCCTGGAGAAGCCGCCGCTGCAGCAGCCGCCCCTGGAGCAGCCACCCTTGCAACAGCCGCCCTTGAGGCACCCGCCCCTGCAACAGCCGCCCCTGGAGAAGCCGCCACTGCAGCAACCGCCGCTTGAGAAGCCACCCCTGCAGCAACCGCCCCTGGAGCAGCCTCCCCTGCAGTAGCCGCCCCTGGAGCAGCCGCCCCTAGAGCAGCCGTCCCTGGAGCAGTCGCCCCTGCAGGTGCCGCGGAGCCCTCGCCCTACAGTGGTAGCGGCCTTGCCGTTGCCACCGTCGTACGCCTGCCCTTCTCGCCACTGGTGAGCACTACCCTGCCCGTACTGCTGTTACTACTACGCTTGCTACTACTACTCTTTCTACTGCTACTGGTGCTCCTCGCTTGGCCAGAACCAGCTCCGGCGACGTCTGCGAACAAGCTGTCCCCTCGTGCTGTTCCCTGCGTCTTCCTTGGCTTCCCTCCTGACGCACCTGGGTGGCAGTTTTACCACCCCACCTCGCGCCGTGTTCTGTCCTCCCAGGACGTCACCTTTGACGAGTCGGTGCCTTACTACCGTCTCTTCCCCTACCGCACTGCGCCCCTCCCCCCGCCGCGGCTCTTCCTTGCGCCAAGTCCTCCCCCGGTAGACCCTCTCCCCCCTCTGGGTCCTGCCCCGTCAGGTGTGTCCTAGGTAGACGCGGTCGAGCCTGTCGAGGTAGCTGTTGACTCTGGTGCTGCTAGAGGCGCTAAGCCTGTGGGTCCCGGGTCTGGGGGTGCTAAGGCTGGGGGTGCGGAGCCGGGGGGTGCCGGGTCTGCTCGTGTGGCCTCTAGCGGTGCTTCGTCGAGGCGGGAGCTACTCTCTCCGCAGGAGCTGCGCGAGTGGTTTGCCCGGCGCTGGAGCCGTGCTGCTAGAGCTGGAGGTACTACTGTTGCTGCTGGTGCTGGAGGTGCTTGTACTGGTGGTACTGGAGCTGCTGGGATTGGGGGTACTGCTGGGGCTGCTGGAGTTAGTCGTGCTGGAGGTACTGCTGGAGCTGCTGGCGGTACTGGAGCTGACGGTCCTACTGGAGCTGGTGCTGCTAGAGCTGCTGGAGCTGGAGCTGCTGGGGGTGTTGGCGCTGGTGGTTTTGCTGGCGCTGGTGCTTGTGAGGGTACTGGAGTTTGCGCTGTTGGAGCTGGAGGTGCTGCTGGCGCTGGTGCTGCCGCTGGGGGTACTGGTGCTGTCCCTGCTAGTTCTGGAGGCGTTGCGCGGCCGAGGCCGTACTTCGTTCCGCTCCTTGAGCAGGTTCTTGGTCTCCCGCCCTCTACTGGTCCTGCTCCTCCCTTAGAGTGTCTACAGCGTGTCCAGCCGCAGTCACAGTTATAGCCCGCCTCATCGCTACCTGCTCCTTCTCCCTACACTGGTCCTACTGGAGGTCTTGCTAAGCGTCATGAGCCTGCGTCTCGTTCTGCGTTGCTTGTTCGTGCTGCTCGCACTAGTGGTCGTGCTCCGCATCCGGGTCCTCCAGCGGTCTCAGGCACGCACCAGATGGCACTGCGTCCTTCCACTGCTCCTCTGCGTGTCCCGTTGCCGTCTCATCCTGAGTCCGCTCTTCATATTCTTGCTGACCCGGAGTCTGACTCTCTTCGTGCTGCTAGTCCTACTGTCACATGTCTCCTGGCTACTGTTGTCACTGACCCTTCCTTTGAGTCCACTCCTACGTCTACCTTGGTTGCTGAGCTTGTCGAGTTTGCTGCTCGCTGTCGTCTAGACTACGCCGCTAATCTCGTTGCCGAGTCTGGGTCTGTCTGTCCTCCGTCCGTCGGGGGTGAGTGTGCTCTTAGCATGGACGTCGTTGAGGACAGGCAGGAGGAGTTCCAGTGTTTTGCTGCTGCTTTGCCTCATCTCGTGTCCACGCTGATTGCCTCTGAGGGAGACCCGGATGCACCAGACATCCGGACTCCTCGATCGTACGCTGAGGCGATCGAGGGTCCCTACTCCTCTCAGTGGCAGTCAGCCATGGACCCAGAGATGGCTTTTTGGAAGTCCACAGGCACCTATGTCGACGTGGTTCCCCCACCTGGGGCGAACATCGTCAGTGGCATGTGGATTTTCAGGGTGAAGCGGCCGCCGGGTTCTCCGCCTGTCTTCAAGGCGTGTTACGTGGCTCGAGGCCTCAGTCAGCGGCAGGGAGTTGACTACTTTCAGACCTTCTCTCCCACCCCAAAGATGACCACTCTTCGGGTGCTGCTGCACATAGCCGCTTAGCGCGACTACGAGCTTCACTCTCTTGACTTCAGCACAACTTTTCTGCAGGGCAGCCTGCACGAGGAAATCTGGCTGCGCCGCCCACCTGGCTTTACTGGGTCGTTTCCTCTTGGTTGTCAGGCATATATGCTATAGTCTATGTAGGCTGTAGTGGGGTAGTTCATATGGGGTACAACACTTTAGGGTTTACTACTTGTAGTCTTTATTCTGCTCAATGCATTCATTCTCTCGTTCTAATCTTGACATGGTATAGAGCTGGTTCCCTCGTGGGAACTGTTCCTAGGGCCCACCGAACTTTTTTTTCCTGCCCGGAGCGCGCTTGGCCCTTGCCTGAGTCGCACCCCGTGTCGTTCCCCCTCGCGCCCTCTAGTGGCCCCTCTTACGGCCCCTAGTGGCCCAGTTGCGCCGCCCTTGCGGCCCCGTCGCGCCGCCCTCTCAGCAGCTCTATCGCGCCCTTTAAGGCCCCGTCGCCGCCCTTCTTGCGGCCCCGTCGCCGTCCTTAGGCGGCCCTGTCGCCGCCCTTTCAGCGGCCCCGTCGTCGCCCCTAACTGCGGCCCCGTCGCCGCCCTTCAACCGCTCCGTCGCCGCCTTTCAGTGGCCCCGTCGCCGCCCTTCCGAGGCACCGTCACCGCCCTTTCAGCGGCCCCGTCGCCGCCCACCCCTTCCGCGGCCCCGTCGCCGCTCTTTCAGCGGCCCCGTCGCCGCCCTTCCGCGGCCCCGTCGCCGCCCTTTCAGCGGCCCCGTCGCCGCCCTTCCGCGGCCCCGTCGCCGCCCTTTCAGCGGCCCCGTCGCAGCCCTTCAGCGGCCCCTTCGTCGCCCTTCAGCGGCCCCGCCGAGCTGCCGAGCCGCTGCGCTGCCAAGCCACCTAGCTGCTGCGCCGCCGAGCCGCCTATGCAGCCGAGCCGCCGAGCCGCCTTTGCCGCCGAGCCGCATTTTTCCGCCGAGCCGCAGTGCAGCCGAGGCGCCGCCGCGTGTCGGCCTGCCCAGGACTGCCTCACTTACCTGGTAAGAGCAGCGCCTCTGCCACTGCACTGCCCTGTCCCACTATACTCACTGCCTGTCTACTACTCTCATGGCCACCCCTAGTGTTCTCACCTTTGACGTTGAGGGTCGAGCAGTTGACTTTGAGGTTTGGGTAGATGATGCGACAGGGCAGACGGTCTCTCCCTGTTTGACCTCACTTCTGGTGCCTCTCATGCCCTTGCTGGTGATGGTGATGCCACTGTTCGCTCACAGTGGGCCACGCGCGTTGCTGCTGCTCGCCTTGCTGTGCGCCGCCACTTACCGACCACTGAGCGTGCACACTTTAGCCAGTACAAGAGTGCTCAGACCTTGTACGACGCTGTAGTTGCACGCTACTCTTCCCCTGCCACTGCTGCGCTGAGCCGCCTCATGCTACCGTACATCTTCCCTGACCTTCTTGCCTTTCCCACAGTCGCTGACCTCATTACGCACCTCCGCACTAGTGACACTCGCTACCGCGCTGCGCTTCCTGCTGAGTTCTGCGCCAAGAACCCCCCCCCCCCCCCCCATGTACATCACCCTCTACTACATAGTCACCCGGCTCCCTGACTCTCTCCGCGTAGTCAGGGACCACTTCCTTTCAGTTTGCCCCACCACTCTCACCATTGACCTCCTCGAGAAGGCCCTCCTAGCAGCAGAGAAGAGCATAGTTGCTGTAAGAGCCTCTCGTGGTGACCCTCGCACCCCCGTCTTTGAGGGGTGTTCTCCCTCCCCCCTCTTACCCTCTGTTGCCTCTGGTGCTGCGTCCGACCTCTTTGGTTTCGAGTCGGTCAACGCTGCGTCTGCCCCGAGCGGGAGACGCCGCACCGGCAAGGGCAAGGGGGGCAAGGGCGCTAGAGGGGCTGGTGGGGGCAGTGGAGGTGGTGGTGGAGGCAGTGGAGGGAGTGGGGGTGGTGGTGGGAGTGGTGCCAGGGGTGGCGGCAGCGGCGGCAGCAGTGGAGGCGGAGGAGGCGGCGGTGGTGGCAGAGGGAGCGGAGGCGGCGGAGGTGGCGGAGGAGGCGGAGGTGGAAGAGGCGGCAGAAGCGGCGGCGGTGGCGGTGGTGGAGCCGGTCGCGACTCTGCACAGAGGAGTGGCTCAGTTGGTGATCCGCGCCAGCAGCAGCGGAGTGGCGTGACCCTGTCCCCTCAACAGCTTCGTGACAGGTACACTGCGCATCAGCGCGGTGGGGGCTTTGGTCCCTGCACTTACGTCCTCCGTACTGGCGACCGAGCTGGTGAGCAGTGCGGTGGCCCGCACTCCACCCAGCGCTGCTTCGGTCGCCTGGAGGATGCGTGGTGTCGCCAGTTCCCTGAGGCGTCAGAGATCCCTCGCTGGGGAGATCTGCATAGGGCGGGGGTTGCCATCTTTGATCTTGACTATGATGCTATCCTTGCTGCCATGTATTCTGTGACCACTAGTGTTGAGGGTGACTGTTACCTGTGTGTACCGCCTGACCCGGGCATTGAGGCTGCTTCGCAAGGTGCTGGTGAGGCTGCTGCTCTAGGTGCTAGTGCGTCTGCTGCCCCAGATGCTAGTGCGTGTGCTGCCCCAGGTGCTGGTGAGTCTGCTCTCTCAGGTACTTCATCGGCTCAGGCCTCACACACCTTCACTGTCGACTCGCGTGCGTCCTGCTCCTTCTTTCGAGACCGCACCACTCTTACGCCGCTCAATCGGGCGGTTGCAGTCTCCCTAGCGGACCCCTCTGGGGGTCCTGTCCTTGCTAGCTTCTCCACTGTCTTACCGTGCCCGGCAGCCCCCTTTGGCACCCTGTTAGGTCTCTACCTCCCCTCGTTCTCTACGAACTTGGTGAGTGGAGCAGACCTACAGGATAGGGGGGTTGACCAGTTCACTCCTGCAAGTCAGCGGGTGACACACTACACATGTGCTAGGACAGGCAGACACTTGGCCACGTTCACCCGTCGGCCAGGGTCGAGCTGTTGAACAAGAATGAATGAACTAAGAGTGAAAAGAGTACAAGAATCAAAACCTAGGAATGTGTACCCCCTATAGGCTAACCCACTGTAGCCTAAACAACTACAACAACATATATAATGTTTGACACACCCCCATAGGCGAAGTGGGGGAGAACTAGGGGTCACAAGACCAGTCAAGTAAAGAAAAACAAAGCAAGCTCAGGGTGGATCACAACGTCACCACACAATCCGAGCACAAGCGCAAGGCCAGTTCACATGCAGGAGTACAGATATATATATAAGACTAAACAAGCAAGAGCAGTGATATATATATATGTAACAGTACAAAGAGGGTCAAGAGGAGAGCAAGTGAGGCAAGACAGACACAAGACCCAGCTGGGTACAGCAGCGCTGATGATCACAAGGCGGAAGTGCCTTGGTGAAGACATCAGCAGTGTTGGCCTCAGAGGCCACGTACGCAAGTCGCAACTGACCACGCTGCTGTAGCTCACGAGCAAGGAAGTAGCGGAGAGCAATGTGCTTTGTTCTGTGCTCCAGTCTCTGCTCCCGACACAAGGCCAGCATGGCCTTGTTGTCTACGTACAGGACTGGAGGAGAACGAGGCGGCTCTCCAAGGTCGGTCAGCAGGTAGGTGAGCCAGCGAAGCTCCTGAGCAGCCATGGCCCCTGCGTAGATCTCAGCCTCACAACTGGAGCCAAGAACAGAAGACGAGCGAGTAGCCCGCCACGAAACAGAGCCGGAACCAAGGCTGAAGGTGTAACCCTGTGACGACCGCTGCGTAGCCTGGTCGTCAGCCCAAGAAGCGTCTGCGTGTCCAGTGAGGACCACTGGACTCCGCCCTCCAAGCACTAGCCCCATGCCCGACGTACTGCACAAGTAGCGCAACACCCTCTTCGCTGCAGCCATGTGCTCTGGTCGGTGTCTCCCAGGAGCAACATAGCGTGCAAGAATGCTAAGAGGGTATGCAAGGTCAGGTCGTGTGCAGGTCATCAGTTACATGAGACAGCCAACAAGCTCTGGGTACGGGCCACTCGACTCTACGGACTCATCCGAAGGCAGAGCTGAGAGCGAGTGGCGAGTAGACAGAGGAGTGGCCTGAGGCGAGGAGTACGTGAAGCCGAAGCGCTGAAGGACCTGCTGCACCATGTGTGACTGAGTCAGGGTAATGGTGCGGCGTGCTCTGTCCCGGGTGATCTGCAAGCCAAGGTAGCTACGCAGTTCACCCAGGTCAGTGCACGTGTGTCTCTTCTGCAGCTCGGACTTCACGTAGGCGAGTCCAGTAGTGTCAGCTGTGGCAAAGACCAAGTCGTCGACGTACACGAGGATGTAGAACGGCGGCAGAGAGGTGTCGGTGCGCAGAAACAGCGACGGGTCGGCAGTAGACGGAGCGAACCCAAGAGCCGCAAGCGTAGTCCTCAGTGTGTCGTGCCACTCACGTGGCGCCTGGCGGAGACCGTAGACTGGACGCCGGAGACTCCACTGGGTACCAGGAGGGAAAGACCCAGTGAAGCCAGGTGGGCGGCGCAGCCAGATCTCCTCGTGCAGGCTGCCCTGCAGGAAAGCTGTGCTGAAGTCGAGAGAGTGCAGCTCGTAGTCCCGGTGAGCAGCAACGTGCAGCAGTACCCGAAGAGTGGTCATCTTCGGGGTGGGGGAGAAGGTCTGAAAGTAGTCAACTCCCTGTCGCTGACTGAAGCCACGAGCCACGTAACGTGCCTTGAAGACAGGCGGAGAACCCGGCGGCCGCTTCACCCTGAAGATCCACATGCCACTGACGATGTTCGCCCCAGGAGGGGGGACAGCGTCAACGTAGGTGCCTGTGGACTTCCAGGAAGCCATCTCTGCATCCATAGCTGCCTGCCACTGAGAGGAGTAGGGACCCTCTATCGCCTCCGCGTAAGAGCGCGGAGTCGGGATGTCAAGTGCATCCGGGTCTCCCTCAGGGGTAAGCAGTACGGACACGAGATGAGGTGAAGCAGCTGCCAGACACTGGAACTCCTCCTGCGTGTCCTCAAGGACGTCCGTGCTAAGGGCACACTCACCCCCGACGGACGAAGGACAGATAGACTCAGACTCAGCGACAAGACTAGCAGCGTAGTCTAAGCGACAACGAGCAGCAAAGTCGACGAGCTCAGTAATGAGAGCAGACGCAGCAGTGGACTCGAAAGAAGGGTCAGTGACAACAGTAGCAAGGAGACGCGTGACAGTAGGACTGGCAGCACGAAGAGAGTCCGACTCAGGGTCGGCGAGAGCAGGAAGAGAGGACGCAGGAGGAGAAGGCAAAGGGGCACGCAGAGGAGCAGTAGACGGACGTAGAGACATCCGGTGCGTGCCAGGGGCAGGAGGAGGACGCTGGCGCGAACTATGAGCACTAGCGCTAGCAGGACGGACAGGCGACGCAGGACGAGACGCAGACTCACGATGCTCAGTAAGACCGCCAGTAGGACCAGTGTAAGGAGAAGGAGCAGGTAGTGGGGACGGGACAGGCTGTGAACACGCTAAGGGAGGAGGACCAGGAGGAGGCGAGAGACCAAGAACCTGCTGAAGGAGCGGAACGAAGTACGGCTGAGGGCGCGCGGCGACTCCAGACACAGCAGGGACAGCACCTGTACCCCCAGCGGCAGTACCAGAACCAGCAGCAGCTCCAACGCCCAGGTCCTCAGTACTAGCCTCAGCACCAACGCCCGAGTCCTCAGCACCAGCAGTGGCTCCAACACCAGTCCACAGCACCTGCCGCAGCTCCAACGCCCGGGTCCTCAGCACCAGCAGGGACTCCGACACCAGGGTCCACAGCACCAGTCGCAGCTCCAACGCCAGGGTCCGCAGCACCAGCCGCAGCCCCAACACCCGGGTCCGTAGCACCAGGGGCAGCCGGGTCCGTGAGACGAGGCGCACCACTCCGAAGTGTGCAACGGCGCTCGTACCACTCACGGATCCGCTCACGAGAGGGGAGCTCCCGACTAGGAGGAGAAGTACCAGCCCCAGTCCCTGTAGTGCGCCTGGTCCCATAGGTAACACTCCGGAGGCTGCAGTACTGTAAGTACCACTCACGCAACTGCTCCGAGGAGAGGTCGCGTCCAGGTGTAGCACCCTCAGGCCCAGCACCGCAAGGCTCAGCACCCCCAGTCACCGCACCCCCAGGCTTAGCACCCCCAGGCTCAGTACCCCCAGTGTCCGCACCCCCAGGCTCAGCACCCCCAGAGTTCGCACCCCCAGGCTCAGCACCCCCAGAGTCAGCACCCCCAGGCTCAGCACCCCCAGTCTCCGCACCCCCAGGCTCAGCACCCCCAGCAGGACGAGAGTCGACAGCAACCTCAACAGGCTCGACCGGGTCTACCTGAGACACACCTGAGGGAGCAGCACCCTGAGGGGGGAGGGGGTCTACGACAGCAGCACCTGGCGCGAGGAAGAGAGGCGGGGGTGGGAGCGGGGCAGTGCGGTAGGGAAAGAGGCGGTAGTAGGGGACAGACTCGTCAAAAGTGACGTCCTGAGAGGGCAAGACCCGGCGCGAGGTGGCGTGGTAAAACTGCCAACCAGGCGCGTCCGGAACAAAGCCGAGGAAGACGCAGGGAACAGCACGAGAGGAGAGCTTGTCCGCAGACGAATCGCGGACAAAAGCTCGAGATCCCCAAACCCGGAAACGTGACGCATCGCCAACCTCCCCCCGTCCACAGCAGTGTGGGCGAGGTCTCCGGCAAGGAGACACGGGGCCAGAGGTTGAGCTGATGCGCAGCGTACCGGACCGCAAACGGCCACAGAAAGTGGGGGGCAGCCGCATGGATCAAGGAGGTACGAGCGACCTCCATGACCAGGCCAATGCGGCGCTCCGCAACCCCATTCTGCTGTGGAGAGGCCAGAAGTGTGAACGACTGCTCAATGCCGTGCTCAGCACAGTAGGCTGCCAAGAGGTCGGAGGAGAACTCACCACCTCTGTCAGAGTGCAAGCGCAGGACAGAAAAGTCCGAGCGGAAACGCTCGCTGAGCTGGAGACGAGCTCTGCGGATCCAAGGGATCAAAACATCAGGGACCTCACCCTTGGCTCGCAAGGGGAAGACCGTGGTGTAGCGCGAGTAGTCGTCAACAACGATCAGGAAGTACCTCTCCTGACCCTGACCACGGACGCGGGCTGGGCCCCACACGTCCATGTGGAGCGTCTGCAAAGGAGCAGTCGTCGGGGGAAACGAGGAGGAGTGAGGAGCGGCGCGCTGCCGCCCCTCGACACAGGGAAGACAGGGAGGAGCAGGCGAGGGTGGGAGGTAGCCAAGTGGCGGCCTGTACGGGCACACGTGCAGTGTGTGACACGCTCGTAGGCAGGGGTGAACTGGTGAACACCCGCGTCCTGTAGTGCACAACCTGCCACCAAGTTTGTAGAGAACGAGGGGAGGTGGAGACCTGACAGTGTGCCCGACGGGACCGCAGGACAGGGAAGGACCGTGGAGGAGGTCGCAAGGACCGGACCCCCAGAGGGGTCGGCGAGGGAGACAGCAACTGGCCGAGCAAGCGGCTCAAGGGCAGTGCGGTCACGAAAGAAACAGCGAGAGGCACCTGAATCCAGTGTGAAGGTGTGCAGTGCTGCAGTCGACACAGTACTAGGGGGGGCAGACGTACACGCACCTAGAGCAGCAGCCTCACCAGCACCTGGGGTAGCGGACACGCGAGTACCTGGAGCGGCAGACGCACTAGTCCTAATGCCCGGGTCGGGCGGGACACTCAGGTACTCAGCACCCTCTCCACTAGTAGACATCACATACATGGCAGTGAGAATAGCATCAAAGTCTAGAGCATAAATATCAATCCCCTTCTTCAGGTGATCAACCCAGCGGGGCAGCTCAGTGGCCTGAGGGAACTGAATACGCCAAGCGTCGTTCAGACGAGCGAAGCAACGCTGTGTGGCGTGCGGTCCCCCACACGGCTGGCCAGTGCGGTCACCAGTGCGAATGACGTACGTGCAGCTAAGGCCACCCCCCCCCCCGTGCTGAGAGTACCACTCACGGACCTCCTGGGGCGACA